GAAAATAAGAAAAACGGTATTTTTTTGTTTAAATAAAAGAAGCTATTTAAACCCCATTGGGGTGTCCATATACTTTATATGTCAAAAAGAAAAGAAATTTTCGTAGACATGGTATAAAATTTCTTTCAATCGGAAAACTCTGTTTCTTTTTAAAAGACTTTCAATAACAAAACTACTTCCTAGTCGGCAATGTAAGAGACGCTACAAGCAAGACCTTTTGAAATAAGAATTACTCTTTGTAAGCTGGATTCGAAGATTTTCTAATTGCGCTGGCATTCGAAGACTGACGAGAAGGTGTGCTTCCAAAGCAACGAATGTCAAATGAGGGAATCAAGCGCAGTAGTCGTGTCGGAACCAGATTCAAGTTTTACTGCGTCATAATTATTTCTAAGGGAATCTGAATCAAAAATCATACATACGAAATAAAAAGGAATAAAGTGTTCAGCACGGAAAGCATAAGGTGAAGATACATGCAGCTTTTTATGTGTATGTAGAAAATACTAAACAGTGCTGCATCCCAAACCCATTAAGTATTTCTTTGCTCAATGCTTGGCGTCTCTAAATATAAAAGTAGCGTTGATTTTTTTAATTCACTAGTCTTACTTCATTAAAGTGTTTGCAAAGTTTTCAAAACACGTACGCAGAAGTGTGACGGGTAAACAAAATTCATAATCAAACAAACATAGTCAACCAGCAACAGTGTGGGGAGGGAAGCGGGAAGGGGGGTAGGGAAACCAACTCGCATACGTAAACAGACAACTTCGCTTTTCGGCCATAAATTAAGCGCAATCGTGTTTGTTTAATGCGTCCTTGGCAAGTGTCAAGCGCAGCAGCAGCAGCAGCAGCAGCAGCAGCAGCAGAAACAACAGCGGCAAGTGGTTAAGCAAAAGCTGGATAAGTCAATGTTAAGGCACTTTTGTGCTTCATACTACTTACTGCACACATATTAATAAGCATCTAAGTATGCGTAGTACAAACATACTTATGTATTTGATTATGTGCATATGTATGTATTATATAAACGCTTGTATATTTAGAACACTCCCAACCGGCACATGTTTGTCGAATTAGCGTCTGTGTAGTGCGTAGAGTCAATAAACTGTATAGCTCCTACAGCGCAACGCCCACAAAATTATAATAAAGGTGATATCAAGTTAGCTAATTAAACGGATATATTTTAGTGCAAGTTATTCACTTTTATTTAAGCTTTAGTAACGTTTTGTAGTTAATGAATTCGGTTGATAAAGAGTACATATGTACATGCTTATGTTGAAAATTATGAACATAAACAAATACTTTTACCTTAGTTACTAGTGCCTTTTCGTAATGTATTACAATTCGAGCCCTAACCGGAAAAAGATGTAAGCGACATTTTTTCAAAATATTTTTTTTTATGCAGAAATGTTCCTAGTAGAGCATCTAGATGCATTTCTGCACCAAAAATAGAATAAGTCGCTTACACCTTTTTGGCTGTCAGAGCTTGAATTAAATGAATAATAAATAAATACTTTGCTAAGGTACCACAAGAAGATTTTTTTAGGTGTAAGTAAAAAAGTCTTGATGCTTGAGGTGGCGTGAAGATTTGGTTGTTTTTCATGTATGTATGTATGCTTGAATCTGTGTGCAAACCGTTTTGTTGTCTGTAATTATAACAACAATAGTCAAAATATTCAAAGGAAAGGAAATCGATGATAAGAAAAATAACAGTATCGATAACAATTTCGACCCAAATGTCTGTGTAATACGATAATGAAAAAATTTGTGTTAACGTAAATAGTAAAAATTTATATCGACAAAAAAGTGGGAAATGTTCAGGAGTCTTAGGGTAATCACATTGTTTTGGAATTTTAAAGGAAAGGAAATCGATGATAAGAAAAGTAATGATATAAATGATAAAAATTTCGATGAGAACGTCTATGTAATACGATTATGAAAAATTGTGTTAAATTTAAAAACACAGTATCGATAAAAATCGATAACAACTGATAAAAAGCCGATATCGGTAAAAATTCGACATCGATAAGAAAAAGTTAAATTCTCATAACTCTTAGCGCACTCACAGTATTTTGGATCAATAAAAAATGTTGGTTAAATTTAGTTTTGTCATTATTATTATTTATTTTTTTGACTTTTCTTTCTATTGTAAATGAGAATACGCGAATGCATATTTTTTGTTTTACTGCATCAAAAAAAAAACATTCGACAAAAAATATATATCACTTCATTTTTACTTGCGATTTTAAAGTTTACACAATTTTGTCCAAGAAGCAACATCCGCTTTGTTTTAAGACAAACAAAAAACAATAAATATACCCGAACAACATTTTTGCACTTGGAATTCAAATAGCAGCACAAACATACGCGCAAATGTAAGCATAATTTTGGTTGTTTTTATTTACTTTACTTTTTATTTCATTTTTCACCTTTAAGTCAGTTTTACTTCTTTCGATTTGTCGATCACGTACGCGCACATGCCGCAACCTTTACAAATTTCTTCCTTGTTAGTGTATGGATGCACGTGGCAAAATTAAAAAATTCAAAAACAAGATGTTTACATGAGCTTATGTACATACATATTGTATGTACATGTATGTATATAAGCATAAGATTTATGCGCAAAGTAATATGAAACATGCGTTGCTACATTTGCACGTACATATTTGATTGGTTACATATGTACATATGTATGTATTATACGTGCATACATATGTCTGGGCATTTGATTTATTGCTGCGCATAATAAGTGCCTAATAAAATTTAAATAAATAAAATCAAAAACAAATTTTCCTTCCTTTGCATTTCTTAAATCTTAATGCCTTTCCGCATACGAAAATGATATATCTTACTTATTCAATAATACATATGGGAACATATTTGCATATAGAAACACGCCTCTTCTATGCGATAGCAATAAAGTAATGCTTGAATGCGTCTTATAACGCAAGTATGTGCATAAATATATGTACATAGATTGCACATAGTATGTGTATGTATGCTTATAAGTACCCAGTCGGAAAAGTAGTAATGCATTACATTCGTGATAAATAATATAACGCATTTTTTATGCGACCTCGATAATATTACTGCTAACTATGTATTCAGCATTCTAATGTATTCAAAAAGTTCCAAAAATTTCATATTAAAACACATTCATTTCTCGATACTAGGTAATGCAAAATTGAATGCCCCACTTTTCTTAGGACAAAAAAATGCATTTACGAATGTGTGTGTGTGTGGAAAAAAGAATGCATTTACGAATGTGAAAAGGGTTGTTTTACTGATTATTTTTTCGATTACTATACATTACATTTTCCCACTGGGTATTTTGTGTGTGCGCTCGAAAATTGTTTACCCCGCCATATGTTGCGTATACGCCCTGCCGCATGCCTGTATCGATTATAAATGAGGAAATAAAAATTTCCTCTATTGCTTACGCTCTTGCTGATTATGTGGGTGGAAAAGTATATTTATATACATACATCTACAAACTCGTAAAAAAAAATGTAAGTAATAAAATTTATTCGTGTAAGGCAAATGCAAGTTCGCATAGGCGAGTGATGATTAAGTATGCAAAGGCGTGTTTGTTTGTGTATTGGCGAATGTATGAAGGGAAAGAATTATATTCGATTTAAACTTGCTGAGTTATTTGATTTGTGGGTAAAAGTATTTGAAAGCGATTGACTTGATATGGCTTAAGTGCGGTGCGGCTATAAAGAGTCGAAAACAAGATTTGTACTGGATAATTACATTCACGGCATGCAAAATGCTTGATTTGCGATCAGTCAAGGGTATTCAGTTGGAAAAGAGCTTAGATTGAGTACAAAGACTTTTACACTGTCATGCGAAATTTGGGAAATTTTTACTAATGGTTTAAAATTTTTTTAGTCTTAGCGCCAAAGTTGATGTTAAGTTTATAAAAAAGTTTTTTGCTGGAAAGCTTTAAAGTATTTTTAGAATTTTTTATTATGAAAAAATGTGGCAACTCTATTTAATAAAATTTATGTAATTATGGGAACTCTATTCATGAACATTTGTTACTATAAGTCAAAGTCATCAAGCAACATGATGTCAATAAGAATTTCTTAATTATCGAAATAAAGCAACACTTTCGAAAACCAGGTGGCAACATTACCTTTAAGTTGTCATGGGGTACTCGTAATAGCTTAACATTTATCTTAATACTGGTGTATACATATGCACATAGGACATAAATATGTATGCAGGTATAGTTTTTTTTATTTTGTGATCAAATTTTATATGTATGGCAACTGTGCTCGTATTTTTTGAATATCAAAGCTATTACTTTTCATGTAGTCATTCTTCAACTAAACTAAGGTTATCGTTTCTTCTTTTGGACCGTAGTAAATAAGTAGCACTTGGCAACCCTGCGCGTAACTTGCAAAAATTCTATCAAGGAATAAAATTAAATTTAAATAAATTCTGTATTTATTTTCATAGTAACTATGTGCAAACAAACATTTGCCAAGTTAAGTTGGCTGATTGCCTGTTCCCTTGGTCGGTGGACAAGCCACACACACAGGCACACACAGAGTAATGCGTACAAATTTACTTTTGTTACACCGCAAATGAACGACGACGACAGCTGCAATTGTCATAATTTGTATGCGGAAGCAAAGATTTTATTTACGGATTAAGTTTACTTTTTATGAAGTTTATGATTTATGCCAGCAATATATGAGGTAAGCTTAAAGCGCCGACTATGCGGCCGCAAGCTCGTACACGTGTCAGTGATTAGTTTTTAGGTCGAGTTGACTACAAATCAGTCTGAGCTTTAGTGTTTAGGTTTGCAAAACCACCAACTCCACGTGCCCTCTCTAAAGGCCGCGTGGCATGCGCTTCGAATTTTTTATTTGTTAAATTTATTTAACGCGCCGAAATCTTCAACCGCCTTGTTTTAAACTTTACATGTTTATTATTCGCTTTTCGCCCTGGTAATCTTAAACTAATAAGATCTTCTTTTCTTCTTCTTCTTCTTACAGAAAACTTGTTGGCCACACGCCACAACCCAGCTCATCGTAACAGCACCTCTAGCGATGCTGCTGCCAGCGACGACCTCAACTCCAGCTCGAGCAATGAAGATTTGAGCGCCGTCTACAATGTCATGTCGCAGCCCGACAAGAAATCTGGCAAGGCACGCAGAAATCGTCAGCAACGTCGCCGCAAGCATCACGACGAACAAACTGGCGACCAACTTCAGCCCATTCCCATGGACGTCGACGAGGATAGCAAGGAAAATCGACGTCCTGCACAGCACCAGCCGCAACAGCAGCAACAACAGTCGGCTAAGACGACTAGCGTCAATTTGCGTAAGCAATGCACCAAAGCTGCTGCATTGAAGGCGGTCAACCAGCACAACAACAGCAATGCCGGCAATAGCGTGAACAGCAGTAGCAATATTGCAATGCCCAATAGTAGCGCGCATGCGCTCACCAACTCACCGTCCAACTCTTCAGTGTGCAGTGCACTCTCGTTGGCTTCATCCACATACTCACTCTCATCGTCATCGTCATCATCGATGTCGTCGAGCACATCATCTGCCTCGAGTTCGCCCACCAATTCGGCGAATTGCTCGCCCACTGCCTCACCTACCGCCAGCAAGCGCAATACGGAGAGTTTCCGCAAAATTGCACGCGCGCTTGCCCCGCCACTGCGTCAGCACACCAAGTTGAATATGTCGGAGGCCGAGTTGGTGCAACAATTGCGGCGCTATATCATCGATCCGAATTTGTTGCGCGTCTATGGCTACCCGGTTGAGAGCGCCATACACGAGGGTTGCATCGAGATCTACAAATGTCTGCCACGCCCCTCCGGCGTACACACACACCACCTTTCAACTAAGACGGACATCGTTAATACAACCGATGGCCTGCAGTTGCGCATCTCCAACACCAGCAGCAGTTACACCACATCCTTCAACACTACCAGCAGCAGCGTCGAAGCACAATGGACACTCGGCAGCGACAACTCGGCCGACTCCGGTCAGGGTTCGGGGGATTCCAGCCCACCTTCAATGGATTCGGACTCAAGCGAAGCTGGTGAGGATGAACCCGCCACCACAACGGCTTGTTTCACGCCAGACGGCAGCTACCAGATATTCTCGCAGTACGATCAATCGCTGGAGAAGCAATGCGTGCGTTGTATGCGCACCTTCCACGTCACCGAGTCAGGCGAGTACCTCAGCTACGAGAGCTGCACCTTCCATTGGGGCAAGCTGTACAACCTGTATACAGGCAGTAAAGGCTACACCACGCAGTACACCTGCTGTACAGGCACCAAGGAAACCGAGGGTTGCTCGCGCAATCCTTTGCACGTGTGGACCGGCGCTGTGGTCGGAATCAATGGTCCCTACACCGATTTTGTGCACACACGCCCGCGTTGTGATGATAAATCTGACACGCCTAAGGTTTATGCGCTCGACTGTGAAATGTCTTTCACAGGCCGTGGTCTGGAAGTGACCAAAGTGACGGTGGTGGGCTACGATGGCCAGCTTATCTATGAGCATTTTGTGCGGCCGGAAGCTGAAATTGTCGATTACAATACACGTTTCTCCGGCATCACCGAAAAGGATCTCTGTACACACTCGAATAAGGACGTAAAGATGTTAGCCGAAGTGCAACGTGATCTGTTACAGCTAATCGACGCCGACACCATACTCATCGGCCATGGGCTGGACAATGATCTGCGCGTGCTGCGGATCGTGCATAAAACGATCATCGACACCTCGATCGCATTCCCACATTCAAGCGGCTTTCCATACCGCCGCGCGCTCAAGAACCTGACAAAGGCGTGTCTGAATCGCGACATTCAATGTGGCGATGCGGGGCACAGCAGTTTCGAGGACTCGCGTGCCTGTCTGGAGCTGATGTTGTGGAAAGTGCGGAAAGAAATGCGGCCGACGACGTACTGAGAAGTACCGACGCGGAGGCATTCGAGTACATGGCTGCCGCCGAATGGGTGGAAGCGAGGTGGGGAAGAGAACCTCGGCTTGTCAGCGGCGGTGTGTTGTGAGCGAATGCGAGTGTGGGAGAATGACTTAGTGAGTAAGTGAGTGACTGAACGAGTGAGTGGGAGCGTGAATTAAGCACGCTGTGTGATTTTTTATACAAATATTGTAACTTTTGAGTAAGTGTCGTGAAATTTTTACAGATTGAACTTGTAACTAAAAATTTATTTTTTTTCTACAAGTATCTACTGTTTCGTTTATTACAAACTAATTACATTTGTGTAGGAGTATACATATGTACATACATCTTTGTATATACTCCTACATATGTATATAAGCAGGACTGGGCGACGCCGACTGCGCAGTACCCTCGTGGTTGAATCGCGTGTTCGTATACACGAAGTTGAAGGCGAAAATGAAGTGTAATTAATGTTCGCTTAATTTTCATCTTCAACTTCGTATATACGAACACGCGACTTTACCCCGAAGGTGCTGCGCAGTCGGCGTCGCTCAGGCCGTATATAAGTTTAAAGTTGAGTAAACTTGCTGCGGAGCGAATGCTGACGCGCGCGCGCGCGTGTTTGGCCGCTCGGGCGTTTTGTATATAAGTACAAATATACGCTCGTGTGCAGTGCGTTCGTTCACGCTGTTGCGCCCATCTGAACTTGACTTGATACCGTACCAGAGAGGAGTAAGAAGTCGTTGTGTCGACAGAAAGCAATCTCTTTTTTTATTGAAAAGCTGCTGATGTTCAAACAAAAATGGAGCGGAATTTTTAAAAAAATGTACTGATTTATTGCTGTGATTTTTTGCGCGCGCTGTTCTCATTTTTATTTTCGCTTTTTTTCTTCAGTTTTCCAAGTTCACAATATGAAAGTTATTAAATTTAAAAATTTTAGAAATATCTGTAAATTAAAAAAAGGTCATAAGTAATTATTCAGAAGTAAAATAACATAATCGTTACGTTCTAAAGTAGCACCGTTTTTTAGACGAGAATAAAAATTGGAAAAATTAAAAAAAAATTTAATTTTGTTTTTTTGTAAAATTTTTTTTAAAATTTCACTCCAGTTTTGCTAATTTACGTATATTTGTTGAGAACGAAAAATTTTATTTCAAAATTGTTTTCATGTTTAACGATTTACAACAACATTCTTAAGGAACAATGCGAATATTATTATATGTATTGCATCTCATAAAGTTTTTCTTTACAAAAATAAATGCACACCTGTACATAAAAGCTATCTAACAAATGTAGTTTCAATTTTACTTTGTTAATTCAAATATTTAACATTGTTAAAATGCATACGATTTTTTTTTCATTTCGTAGTTATTCAGCATATTTTTATTTTTTTATTTATTGACGAAAACATCATTCATTTACCATTTGAACTTAATACTTTTTTTTAAATTTGGTACAAGAAATGCCTATAATTCTAAAAACATACCTAAAAGCACAAAAAATATTTTTTTAGTTACATACATATTTGTAAGGTGGCAACCCATTTGTTGACCTCCCACCACTTCATTCAAGCCTAGTTTAGCATATTTTTAAGTTTAGTCATAAGTTTACTAGGTACGAAAAAAATATTTAAAAAAAACAGCTTTTATTTTGTAAAGAAAAAATCTAGAAAATGCTATAATTTTTGGCACTATTGCGATAAATGTTGTATAGAATAATTGTAAAGATATTCTTCAAAAGCTGCAACTGGTTGTTAAATTTCGCACGTGCTCGTCTCATTAGAAGTGCTGCGCTGTTTTTTAAAAAGCCAATTTCAGTTGATAAAAAAAATGTTGTGAAAAAAAAATACTTGTAGATACGCTGTTGCGCTGTTTGTAATTATTCAATGCGAAGGAATGTAAAAGAAATAAGAAAACAAAACCCTAAAAAAACGCAAAGAAACCCCCATTGTAAAAAATGATGTTCCTAGTTTTTAAAAATACACGTACATTTGTACATACCAAACAAACATAAAAATATGTGAAAATTTATAGCACAAACATGATTGCGAAGTTTTCTTTAAACACAAAGAGCAGAAAGAAATCATGAAAATATGAAATGAAAAGCATATTTTTTTTTACTAATTTTTTTCTTGAAATGTTTTCGCACACATTTGTATTGCGCACATTTTAAAATTGCACTTTTGTAAAGGCAAACTGAAAAAAAACAACAACAGCAAAATAGTTGAATAAGCAACAAATAACAAAATATACAGTTCAACTTATCAGCAAAAAAAAGGCGCCTTGAAAAAAAATCTGGGCGAAAAAAATTAACCTAACGAACATAAAATGTCTACCAACACTTTTGTTGAGACGTTTTATGGGTGGAAAAAAAATAAAATTTGATTTATTTTTTACGATAATGTGACACAAAAACAAAACTATCTTTTTATTTGGTTGGGCGGGCTATGTAACGGAAGAGGACAAAAAAAATGTAAAGAGGTTTGTTCAAGAAGTTTTATTTCAGTAATTAATGGTTCTAACTTAGGTACAGTAAAACATCTACTTGCGAATACCTCCGGTGAGCAGCGCCTTCCATAATCGGACACAAATCCCAGTACGAAGTTTCACATTTTGAACAGAACAATTGCCCTCCATTAATCGGACACTCTAATGACCGGAAGCGGATACTTGATTATTGAGTTTTCTGGTTTCATCACCGCCCGTAAGCGGACACGGACCTCACAGAAATAGACAAATAAAAATAAATATAAATCAACAAAAATCGAAAATAAAGATTTCAAAAAAAATCAAATAAACGTACACGAGGGCCTAATCAGCTGAAAGCATACATATGTACGTTAGCTAGCATTGAGTTCACCGACGCTATGCCAAAGGAAATATTCTTTGGGAGGAAATGCCAGAGCCAAATCCCAGACCGAGTATTCTGGTCAAATGGTTTAACTGAACTGGATTCCAGATATGTGCACTAGTACACAGATGGAGGCCAGAGCAGGAGAGGGTGCCTTTGGACCCGGCTCCAAACTTTCAATTGCAACAGGTACTTGGTCCACGGTCTTTTAGGCCGAGGTGCTAACAGCCTCAATTTGTGCCAGGCTGAACCTTGAGAAGGATTTAAAAGGGGCTTTTCCAGTTATCCTTTAAAGTAGCCAAGGACAGCTTTGACACCGTTCAACTCTTGGCAGCAAAGAACACGGTTTTATGATGCTAGGTACCAGGATACTGCGGACGCATCGTCTGTACTTGTGGCCCGGAACCGTTTTGTGGACTTATTTGGTACTCCTCGTGGCTCATAATCGAAGTGTGGGTAAGCTCAGAATGCAGTAAGTACTGCGGAGAGGTAGCGGGCCTTAGTTAGACCGGAATTTTCGGTTATCCTTTTGCTAGGAATCTTTCCTAACACAATATCTTGAACAGAGTCAACATCAAGTTGATATTGGTTACATTTTCTTCTTCCAGTCGTTTCTTTTCTATGCCAACTGACGCCAATAGGAAATACCAAGTGAAGCCAAGTCGTTCTCCGCCGAATGTTTCCAATGCAGAGGAGGTCTTCCTTTTTCCCTTGTTATCAGCATCGCGGCCAGCGTTGAATACTTTCAGAGATGGAGCGTTTCTGCTCATTCGAAGGGCATAATCCATCCAGCAAAACCGATGGATTTTACTTCACTGCACTATGTCTATATCGTTGTAAAGCTCAAAAGGCTCATCGTTAATCGCTTCTAAAATTGCGCAAATGGTAATGAGATGTTCACACGTTACGACTAGTGTCTGCTATATCTGATGCCACAAAGTAGAGATGAAAAATACCTCAAAAAGATATATATTTTCTATTTTTTCCACACTCTGAACTTACTACATTTACATAGGTATTGTACATATCGCACACGATCTTCAAAAAAGGCATAATAAAAAAAAATAAGTTCGATTTTTTGCTGAGGATCTATTTCAATTAATGGAAATATATTTTTTCTTCATGATAATATTCTTTAACTAGAAATCTACTGTTATACCTGTTTGAGTTGAATATGTACGATCCACAAGCAGTTCTATTTTCGGATCTAATTTTTCAGTTGTGTTTTAATTTCGTTCCTCAACTTTTCTGGAAAAAACTGGTAAAACTCTCAAACACACTGTATACGCAATTTTTTGTTTACAAAGCTGCTTTTTATAATTTGAAGATACGCAGACAAATAAACAAAAATACTTACAAAACTCGACATTCCCCCGCTATAATATATTTATTAAGGTGAAATTGCAGATGTCCTTTCATTTTTGTTTGTTCAGCTTTCAATTTGCTTTGTCAACACTGAACAGCTCATGGTTTCGCACTTTATCAGGTTTTACCTGCAACAAATCTTCGGGTAAAATCTTGTAATTTCTGACAAAGAGATGACCTATGTTAATCACCATTTTTCCTTTACTTTGCCAGAGTACCGTGTACGGGAACGCTTTCTGGTATATTCTTGCAACTTTTGGGAGCGCATGTTTTTTTATTGCCGACGCTATTTTGTGTTCGGGAAAAACGTTGCATGTTTAATTTAAGATGAACTTCAACTTATATAGAATTTTTTTGGATAAATAGGAATGCATGTCTATACAACAAGGAGGTTGTCAACAGAGGGATGTAGACAAAACATCGTTGCATCGAGAATTTCGGTATTTTGCTTCGATGCATCAAAAATGTTCCACTCGATATATAAATAAACGATGAATCGATGCATCGAAGTGAGGGTGACCATGTAATTGGCTAACCAAGCTCTTGATTGCATTGTTGTTATCCATCTCTCTCAGATAAAGTTTCACAAATTAAGCTATTTCCTTTAGTAATTAATTAGTACATTTTTTAAAGCTCAGGTTACATGGCTTCTCCATATCGCATTGTAGAAAAGTGCGCCAAGGGCGGTGGTGTTGGGATTGGCTGGCGAATATGCCGGCAGTCTGCTCTAATTTCAGTTTTTCTACATAGAGATTTTCTTCAATATCTACACGTACATTTTTTGCTCGTATATGCCGATGCCATCGACTTCATCGGCCTCAACAAACGTAATGTTTGTTCCAAGTTGGATATGGAAGCAAAGCGAATGGTTAAGATTATAAACGAGTACAAGGCGAAGTTTATTCAATCATAAAACAATTATTCAGTGCAATCCCGCCTCTCTACTCCCATCACTGTGCTACTTTGGACTAAACCGACAATTGAGATGTATAAAATACACACTCACTCATCAGGACTCTTCTATGTATTTAGCACAGAAGCATGCACAATGACAACATCCGATGCGATGGCCCTTGGAGTACTCTGGTGAATATTTACTCGCCTCTGGCGTTGGCGACGCCAGCCCTTGAACTATTCAATGCGGTGTTCGCTGGAGGTAGCAAAGGAACAAGGAGGCCTCATATACCATGGAAAAATGTGGAGGAGAAGGAATTGACTGCATTTCCTAATGGTTTACTATGCCAAACTCGGCCAAATCACTTGAGTAATTTTAGCGCCAATGACGAAGAAGAAGAACTGCATTTTGTAGCTGATCGCCTATAACTCATTCATCGAAAAATAAGACCAAATGCAGGTAATGGAAACGAAAGTTAATAAAGCTAATTTTAGTTCGGCTCTAAATCCTCCAGAATGGTCAAAAATTTTTTTTTTTCACAATGAGGGTCACTATTTTTATAACACAAATAAAACGCCGTTTTAAATACATAAGATCAAAAATGGAGCTTCAGAATGAACATTGCAATTTTTTTGCAAAATTTAAAAAAAGTTTATTGGTTTCCTTAACATAAGTATTAATATGAGTATGCAAATTTGTATAGTATTTATTCGCCAATGTCACACTAACGGCAGCACGCCGTCGCGCTACAATACTTGTATGTATTTACGATAGTCGTAACCGAAATTCGCACTGTTCAAGTCTATTTGCTAGATCGCACCAAATATCGAAGATCCTCGCTAAAAGCACATGATCGTTTCGTTTGTGGCATTAAGTAATTAGCACAATTTGCGGAAGAAAAATACAAACACCAAATAAGCTCTTAGGAAAGTAATAAACAGCCGCAATACATGCATAATATAATTCTACAGTCGTATTAAAAAAGAGTAATACGTACAGCATAAATTGCATGCCAAAAAAGCGCAACAATGACTTTTTACAATGAAATATAAGCTGCATTAGTTTTAATTAAAAAATTACGTTCGATTAAGGAGTGGAAAGATCAATCTGCTTCCGCGGATTCTATGGCGCCTTTTTCTATTTTTTATATGTATCTGTACATTAGGGTATCTGATATATATAGATAGATAGAGTAAATCTACATTTCCAACCTTACAAACTGCACTCCCGATAGTATTAGCCAAGGCTTTCACGGAAACACAACGGTTTAACTTTCACATATCGAAACTTCCTCAGCCACTAGAAGGAGTTTAACTGAAGAAAATGTATCAATTTTGCTACGGCATGGCATTAAATACCTACGTCTCGAAGTAAACGTCTACCTCTCTAAACTTTTTCGCAGTTGTTAATAAAGTACGGAGCCTCAACAGCACCCTAAAGTCAACATTTGGGTGAAATAAATGCAAAGAAACTTTCTTGACAATATCCATTTGCAATTGACGATCGGTTCTGAATT